TTTGAGTGCAAGAACAGTCAGAAATGGGTCAAAGGGCAGTAGAATTGGCACATTTTAAATTTAAGTACTTGATACTAATGCATTAAGTTTGTAAAAATCAGTGGCAGCATAGGGAAATGTACAGCAATTGTCTCTATTCTACAAACCCAACTACTCTTATATTCAATTATACTATTAGTTTTCAGTTATGGTGTTACTATGTAACCCTATTGATACAAAACCAGTTTTTAATTTCTTCAAAGTATGGAAGACTTTCTTGCCAAGTCTAATGCTGAGACAAATGAAGTTTTGCATGGAATTTCAGAACATTGCTAAGATGGATCATGGCTTACTTCCCTCATATTTTCAGTAACCACTGGACACTTTACCACATTGTTGTATTGCATAATAGTGACCTTCGGTTTCTAGTTTTGAAGCATGTAGTTTTTTTCTTCCACCAAGCCTGAGCATGAGACTTCTTCCTCTTGACTTTTAGAAACTAAAAGAAGTACAATCAACTTTTTGTACAGTGTGAACTTTTCTAGTTTAATCCCATTGTGGCTGTAAACCTTTAATGTTGCCAATTTACTAGGGTAGCTTAATTGTATTGTAATTGATTAATGAATAATCCATGCATACATATGCTAAATTCTTGATGAAAATTCACGCCCCCCTTCCTTTTAGTTAAAATATTTACCACAAAGCAGACTGACAATCATAGTACAAGTTAGTTTCTCACTCCACCATAAATGGTACAACTATCTGTATTAAAACTTGAGAAAAGACTACAGACTTAAAAAAAAAAAAAGCCATTCTATGCTTTCCATGGTCATATAAAGTGTTTCTAATTTATCCTTTAAAATATTTTGATCAAATCTACATTTAGATGCTGAAAGTGCTATACAAGACTGATGTACACTTAAAAATCAATTATAAACTAAAAATTAAAATTAAATTTTTTTTGGAGAAAAACTTTCTTCACTTTCAAATGGAATAACATATGGCTTATTTTCTGAGCAGAAAATCATCATCTGTCCTGACTGAACTGCTTCAGCTTCTTTAATTGATAAGTGATTATTCAAATAGGATACTAAAGATTACCAAACAAAACACAAATACCCAATCCCAGATCTTATTTTTTTCCCAAAATGGGTTTTGTATAAACAAAGTTAACATTACTAGTTTCTTGAATATTCAAGTGTAAATTTATTCAAAAAAGAGTGAAGAGTGAAGAAAATGATCAGAGTTTTAAAAGTAAAACTGTAGGCATTAATGCAACATTGGATGTATCCAACTGGCAATCATACCAATAAAAAGCAACAGAAATTCTTTGGACAGAAATTTTAAAAACCTGGTTGTGATTCTTATCCTTTTGGCAGTGCATATAAAAAAGCACTACTATTAAAGCTTTTTAAACCCAACTTTCCTTATTTGGAACCTTCCAGAGATATTGGATTGCAACTTCCATCACAACAACAAACATGGCAAATGGCCTTATGACAAGTGGCCTTAAGGTTGGGGCTGAAGAGAGTTGTAATCCATTATGTTTGGTTGGTTATAGCTAGAAAAGTTGATATTCTTCCCAGCTGCTACAATTTACTGATGTGTGAATGAATGAACAAGAAGACTTACCTTGACAGATAGCTGTTGCTATCAGAACCAAAAGAGGGCCCATTTGCTCTGGAATGAAGGTATCCACCCAGCACAAATCAGTTGTGCTGTGTTATAGGAGAATAATGCCAGTGTCCTGGTCCAGGGAATCTTTCTTAGTGGAAAATAAAGAATGAGGCAACGAAGGCTGTATTCTCAGTTGTGTATTCTTTGTGTCTGGTGCCTGTTGGAGAAGAAGAAGACACTTCTCGTTTTCTGAAAAGACCACAAGTTAGGAAATTTCTAGCTCCAAAAAAAGAACAAGAGTGTGTCATGAACACTCAATAGAAGGGAGGAGAGAGGAGGTACAGCTCAAGGAGGCCCCATTTAAAATACTCTTTTAAAGACTGATTCAATCACGTTCCAACTGTACTGGTTTGCATTTGCAATCGGAAAAGATAATTTGTGAATGGCACCTCCTTTTCAGGCATTCACCTAGTGACAATCTGCAGTGTGTGTGTGTGGGGGGGGCATGTGCAATTGTATCTACTTGTCCTGATGCAACCACACATGTTCAAAAGATCTGAAATTTTCATGACTGTGCACAAAAATGAATATAGTTGATGTTTATGGGAGTGATGGATTGCTGAGGTTAAATCTACATTGGGCTCTGATGCACGTGATCTATCGTATAACTGGACATGGCTGCACAATGCAGGTGAAAGGTTGGCAAGGTGAAGGCTGAGACCAGAGCTACCAGAGCTGGCAAGTGCAGCTTTTCAGCTCTAGACGAGCCTAGTTTAGAAGAGAGATCTAGAAAGGCACAAATGAAATGATATACTGTATATGAAAAATATTTTTTTTTAAAATGCTGTGGTAAAATCAAGTCATACTGCTTCAGTAACGCTCACGAGATAGAAAACATGACGACAAAAAGAGTTCCATAACTTTTTTGTACTTTTTTTTTTTCCTTTTTCAACTTCCTAGGAAAGAATAGAAGGATGGAAAGCAGCAAAAGTAGATTATGAAATGAGGATTGTAAACTACTAAGGAGCATTTTGATTATCGTGGGGTACAAATATTATGTATAAATACATACACCACCGTGCCTCAATAAATTTTCTATGGCTATCTGTCCCTTCTCCCTCCAAAAGGTTAATATTTTAGTGCTGTCTTTGGATGTTTTCACTGCCTGGGCAAATCAATGGCACATGGCCTACATTAAGACTACAATTTGGAACATATTCATTAAACTTGCTTAGTTATTTAGGAACAAATGGCCAATGCTAAAAGTGGAGAATACTGCCTGAAGTAAGGTCCCAAATATGCAGAATAGTGATTCCCCACAAAATCATACTTTAACTTTATATGTTCAGGTATTTTTAGTGTGATTACATCATTTTTCAATGAATATGGGTGAATCTGCCCTCCCCTTCCTCCTGGGAATCTGAGGAAATCCTAGGAATGATTACATTATTAAAAGGACAGAGGTTAATTTTGCAGCAGGGAGTATACCACATGGTGGCTTGTTTGCTGATACACTGATATAAGGTATGTTTTGGTAACCAGTTCTGGAAGCAAAATAGAGGGAAATGACAACTGAGCTTTTATTTGAAATTAAATGCCACCTGTCTCATATACATGGCCAGCTAGACAAAAGGAGCTGAGGGTGCCCAGGGACAGAAGAAAATGGAATTTGAGTGGAAAGTTTTGGTTATAACAAACATGAGAAGTTCAGTATCAGGGTGTGCAAGCTGTGTCTGTACAAAAACACTACTTGAACCACAGTGAAACCAGAAGAGAAATGAGGAGTAGCAACTTTGAAGTTGACCCATGTGGAAAAAGCATCAGGACTGGGACCAACTGGAATTGGATGAGTTGCATCCAGTGAAGAGAGATGAAAATTGCCCAAATGGGACAGATAGTATGCAGGAATTATCACTGGGAATGATAGAGATCTCTACTATGCAAGCAGCTGCTCCATCATCTAATATCAGCCACATTGTCCAAATAGGACAAAAGAATGTCCTGCTTCCACCGCAGATAAATTCTATGAATTCTATTTTGTAGTTTCCTCCATTTTTATGGGTTGGGTAAAACATGAGAAGCTTGGCCTGTACAAAAGCTTGAACCACAGTGAAACCAGATGTTATCACTTAATAACAAAGGTTGGGAGTGGCTAAGCTTCCTCCAATACCATCTATGATAGT